CAAGAAGTGAGAAGTTGGACTCTCACTGTACACTTTATAAATAGTTAACCGTTTGAGTTGAATCCTCACGAAACACTTTTAATGAGTGTTGGGAAAAAAGCGCCATCGAAACACTTATGGGAAAGGGTAGGGATACCTTTGGTAGAAATAAGAGCCGGGATATGGGCGAGAAACTCGTCAAAGTTCAAGAGAAGTGGAGGAAGCTGCCCTTGTAGACACTGCATTCAATGACTGATTCCTTACTTAGGCCTTGTTAGTATTTCAGCGTACCCAGAAGATCATTAACAAAGTATTGGACCTGCTCAATCTTCTTTCATGATGCTTATAAAAGCTTGCGAATTTAGTTGCTTTCATTTTTGTACAAAAATGCTTATGAAAGAAGCGATGGTCGTTGAAAGAGTGTCACCGCAAGGAATAAAAACTTCGAAGGGGTACTTGAACAAAAATCTGGACACACTGAATGTGTCAAGCGATTTCAATGACTATTTAGTGGAGCAAATCTTCATTTACGACGCCATGTTCAACTTTTTGACTTCGTGGTTTGGATGAACTTATGGCCTTTGAAGGCATAAAAATTCGGCTTCTCAAATAAGGATTTTTGCAAAAAAAGCCCTCAAGAGAGCCGTTGTAGGAGTACTGGATGAATCAGCTAACTTTAAAAAACAATGATCAAAAGAATTCTATTGATGTTGACAAGTAACTTTCTGAGAGAGAGCATTTTTTGGAAGTTATGACTTTTTATAGCGTAAAAATTCGCGCTTCTCAGAAACTTTTGTCGTTACTTATCCAAAAAGGGTATTTATCATTATTTTTTACAAAGTTAGCACTCATTAGAATGTTTTCTTCGAGAAAACCCGAATATTTTTTCAGATCTAAAATCAGTCCACTTCGATAACAGGTCTTTTCTTCGCAGAGAGAAGTGGATACTGTGGCTCACCTCAGTGGTCCTACCAGAATTGGCTGGAGCTCAGACGATTAGAGAACGGCGCCTGGCTCGGCTCCAAATCCCGAAGAAAAAGGTGAGAGCCCTAGGACTAAGCCTTGGAGGGGAGGGACTCGGGGTGGGTGAGCCAATTGCACTGTGGCAAAAGTTTGAATGTGTGAAATCACAGTGGTGATGAGCCGCTAGGCTCTATACAAGTGGGGTGGGCACGCCCAGCTTTTCACGCATGTCAAGTGACTGCCCTCACCCCCCCCCCCTAGATTGGCTACACTCCCCCTGGCTCACGAATTCCCCGATTCTCGTGACAGTATAGTAGCGGGCAGCAGTCCCACTTACATACATTTCTGTTCAAAAAATGCGGCGTGCCCACCCTACTTGTATAGCACCAGCCGCTGTTCACCGATTTGTAGCGGTTTGAATGACCGAGTCCAAGCAGTCCTAAACGGCAATCCGGGGGGGGGGTGGAGAAAGGGGAGCATATCTCAGAGTTTCCTTCGACTCCTTGCTTGATCGTGGTTGGCACTGCTTCGGAAAACGATCTTTTGTCGTTAATGTTCTTCGGTTTCTCTCTCGTGCCACCTCGGTCAAGCTCTATTATAAAACTAGAGGACCAGCAAGTGATTTCTCCGGTAATTCGCGTGAGATGACAATGCTCGTAAAATGGCAACATCGATTTTCTACATCCATTTTCTTCTTTCTGATCTCAAAGCGTGTCGGTCTCTCATGTTTCCCTGTTCCTCCCATCTGCCTGCGCATTCTGCGCTAGTACGTTCACAAAGCGGCCTTCTGACCCAGACAGCGGGACCTTGGTTCATGAAATCGAAGAGGAGGTGCTGCGCACATACTGCGAAGGAAGTGCTCTCCAATCTGCCGCGCACTCCGCTATATAATGATAGAGGGTGGAATGGGACGACTGTTCATGGATTCTGCTTGTTTCATACTCAAGCTGTTTCAAATGCTCGAATGGGGCTTTTGCGATTTCTGACGCCTGACTCTGAGGACTTTGCGAACTCAACTCCAGTCTAAGGCTCGGCGGAAAAGGTCAGATGGTCAACCCGGCCAATCGAACTGAGAGTGTGTATACCCCTATAGCCTCAAAACGCTAAGCTCCAATCTACTTTCCTTATCTGCTAAATGCTCCGCGAAAAGAGTTATGAAGCAGAAAAGCGAGTCGGAGTGTCGGGACTTGGATTGGAACAGGAAGTTGTGAGATCGTAATTTTCTGGCGACTTAGTCTTTTGCCTCTAGGCAAAACCAGTGAGAAATTCCTGATACATTCCGCTTAATAATTGGAGTCTTGACTTGAAACTCTTCATAGATGTAACTTTAGGCCGACGTTGATTAAAATAAGTATTCAAAAAGGTTTTGTAGCTATGGTTGAAAACAAAACCAATTGAACTTTGGAATAATCGAACCCGCAACCAGGGTTAACCTTAAAATTTTAACGACTCCCCCGCCCTTTGTAGGGTATCGATATGCCTCCCCCCGTATTGGCTAAGTGCTTTAATAGTTTATGCCCATCATCTAGGTAGGGGCCTTACCGACATAGGGTGGTGGACAGTGTAAGCCGCGCGCTTTGTCTCGTTTAGGGAATCGAGGCAAGGTTACATTTACTCATAAATAGAAGTAACTTCCAGATTTTTGCGTTAGCCTAGGAGTAGTAGTAATCGCAGAGACTTCCACTTTCAAAACCCTACCGCTTTTTTCGAGCTCTCGAATCTCCTTATTTTATGAACTGAACAACTAAACCTTGCAGCAGCTACGTTACGGTACAAACCTCTTCATTCAAAAGGTCATAACTTTCTTTAGAAATGGTCTCATGAAATGGGATACGAAAATTTAAAAATATCAAATGCCCCGGATATTTTTCCGAAGATCATTTTTTAGGGAAATAATTCCGTTGTTTCACTTTCTAGGGGTTTAGTCCGATTTTTGAGAAGGCGCGAGCTTCCCTCATTCAGAAGATCATAACTTCCTTCATTCTCAACTATTTTGCAGATCTCTAAGGCTAATTAGAAACTAGAAGACTGAGCTTTCGAAAGAAAATGCTAAAATCTGCCGTGTTCGCAGTACTTTCCTCCACTTGTGGGATTTTGGTAGGATTTGAGTTCAAAATTGTTTTTCTGAAACAATTTTTTTTGCCTGTATCCACTGGAACATGACCGTACCAGCTGCGCCGGCGATCGACGGTGAGACTGGATTTCTGAACGGTCATGACGGAGCGGGCAAAACACTGAAATATAAGGGCGGAAATGAAACCTCCATAAGCTCCTTTCAGAGAAGCAGAATTGGGCTCAGCGTCCCAAGACGCGTGGAAATGTACCTCATTTCATATGGCCAAGTTGGCCTGACGATCGTTTCTAGTTAATCCTACTGCTCCTTACTTGTAGATGCCATCTTTCGCTAGAGGATAGGAGTTTTCAAAGGTGTAATGTTCTAATAGTAGTAAATAAGAAGGAGGTCAACACCCTCATGTGCTAATCCTTAGGACTGCACAATCAAGCTGGAGTTCATTTCTATGAGCCCGTTCCTCGATTTTGATCCCTACTACACCACTAAGTAGTGGACTGTGAAGTTAAAGTCAAATGCTGGAAGTACCTACTGCATCAAAGTATTGGCGGCAATGCCGGCTCTCGTTTGTTTCCTCGCCGCTGCCCTGACGTCAAAATGACGTCACAACACGCGAACGCGTCCGCGCTGCCGGTGAGCTTTTCTATGGAGCCATTGAACAGTATTAATGATCTTCAGTAGAAGTGAGGAACTCTTTCCTGAGGACAGTGATCTGAGCATTATCCTGTTGCGAATTTTGGAACACAGTTCCAATTTGCTCTGAACATTTCATATTTTCCACCAGGTATAATTTATTCATAGTAAGATAGTCAAATCAACGATCGAATCAACTCAAAAGCTTTTGTAATTGCTGAAACGCTATGGAGTTCTTAGAATTGTTGTTTCGTAGTTTGCGTAGGATAAGAATACCATTTTTTATTTAGCGGAGATGAACCAGTTAATGGAGCGGGTGAATAGACTGGAGGAGAGGATGAATGGACTAGAGGAGATGGTAACAGCCAGATTCGAAAGGTAGGAGAGTTTTCATAACTGCTTTCTGTTTCTGTATTTCCTCATGGATTCTTCCGATTTTCGTTCAGACTAAGTCTGGCAATAGCGGATCTGCAAGTGGCACCAAAGAATCAGGGAAGAGAGCCTGCAGATCAAGAAGAAAACGCTGCAAACCAAGAACAGGGTCGGCTTGCTAAAGTGTTAGAGCCTTCGAAGGCTTAGGCTTCCAGATTCAATATTTCTCTACCTGAACCGATATCCGTTTTTCAGATGATTTTGTTTATGAGTACCTCAGCAGAGAGAAAGTGAATGCGGTGTTTACTCTCTGCGAGAATGATTTGGAAGAGTTTGTACTTGATCTAGG